AACATCATTGTCATGGTAGATGATGTTTGGCAAATATCAGAATTTTATATCAAAAACTGAATTTTTGACAGCATTTTGAATTCTGTCCCCATGTGAACAACTGGAGTCAGTGCAAGAATGGCATTTTCAAACATCTGTTTTTCACTTATGGAGTAAATCCAGTCATTGTTAAAAACAAATTAACAACACCTCCATGCTGTCTAGATGCAAGATGTGTATTTTCAGATTTTTGTCTTGATAACTGAATTCATGACAGCAGTTTGAAATCTGCCTTGACAGTTGCTATCATCCTGGTGTTTGACTTAGTCAGTTTGTGAAGCCACAGATGAGTTGTCACTTGCTAATTAGCTCAGTCAGATAGAAGGTGCTCCTTGGTGTCAGAGGTTGTGAGTTTAAGCCTCAACTGATACAAAATGTACATTGTAATGGCAACTTTCTTGTTGTCTTCCTATTCTGCCTCTTGTTGCTCAGCATTGCCTAAAATTGCCTGAAATTCCCTTAAATTGCCCAGCCACAACCATTGCTGCACATCAGCTATAATTTGTATTCTTTCTGCAAGTACGTGAAGAAGATCGACACAAGGTGATTAGCCTAGATTAGCATTAGCACTGCAGCGAAGGGAAACATTACAAAATGGACAAATATGCCTACAAACACCTGTAAAGCTCAGTAATTAGCATGTTTAATCACAAACAGAATGTGCTGTTACTATTTCTTGGCGAACAACAGCGAGGCCCCTGCAAGTCTTCTTATCTGAATCAGTAAAAGCCAGTCGACGGAGGAAAATTTCGGTATTGTACGTTTCTGCAAACCACAAATATGTTACTTTACACATTTCATATGTATCATATCAACATTTCTGAAGTGAAGGATGACACTTGCCAAGCTGCAGACTATTTGTTGAGGCCAACAAACGAGAAAAATGCATTTCCGGCTGCCTTTTAGCTACCAAAGAAGGGTGTTTTTTCGCCACTATTGCTGTGTCTCTACTGGGGATAGTGCCACAAGAAGTGATTGTTTATTACCAAGACATCGCTGTGTATCCAGCCGGGATAATGCCACAACAAAAAAAATGTTTAAGCCCAAGCATGAACTTTTTCGAACCATAACCAAGTGGTTATTGTGCCTTTAAATGTATATGCTACATAATGAAATACAAACGTAACATATGCGTTTGCATAATCTTACAATGCCAACTATTTTTCTGGGGATTTTTCTGGGGATTAGGTTCGTAGGAAAGCGAATGGTTAACAACACAGCTGATATCAGTGAGATGAAACACATGCTGCATCTTTCCCTGAAAACCCCTCATGCACAAAGGATGATTCATTCTCTAATAACACACACACAACCCCCCCCCCCGTGTTAAACTCACTCATTGGAATGGTTTCACTGGTTTCACTCTGCAGTACTGGACTGGGTGCTCTGTTCAGATCCAGTTGCTCATATATTTGGCTCTCCTCTGTGATCATATCTGAACAATCGATAATCTCATAAACAGATTCCTCCTTTGAGACAGAGGAGTTTCCTTCAAACTCATCCAGAGTGAACTGGAGGTCAGCACTGGGCTCTTCTGTGTCAGGGGGGTCAGGTGTGGAGCTCTGGTCTCTGTTCAGGAACTGGAACCTCTCATCACCTGTCAGCAGCTCCTCCACCAGCTTCACTGGACTGCCCACTTTGAAGGAGGCGAAAGGACTGCGTAAAATGTGAGAGGGAAAAAAGGAGTAAATATCAATATAAACGCACTTACATGTTTGTATTGTTTGTTGGCTGCTGATAGATTCAACTTGAGGCACACCAAGAAAAATTTTACATGCTTAATATGAATGTTTTTAATCCTGACAGGTAAAAATAAAACAAAAAGAGTATCACATTTCCCCCCAAATGTGCCCAACCCCACACCCTGCATCCCTCACTGTCATTTGGCATCTTTTCCTGTGATATTTTGCAGGTAAAGTAAGTAGTATTTTTGAGAATAACTCCTCCACCATTCGCCTGAGGATTACATTACAAGATCTATACCACACTCATATCAGTCCGTTAACTATGAAGCTACCTCCAACAGTCAGTTAGCTTAGCTTAGCTTAGCTTAGCTTAGCACAAAGACTGGAAACAGGGGGAAACAGCTAGCCTGGCTCTGTCTACATTTAACACCAGCATCTCTAAAGCTCACTAATCAACACGTTTCTTATTTGTTTAATCCGTACAAAAACTGAAGAATAAAATTGACAGTCAGGCTCACTGTTTTCTTCTGTACACAGTGTTTATGCTAAGCTAAGCTAAGCTAAGCTAACTGACGGCTGGTTGTAGCCTCATATTTATCCTACAGACATGGGAGTGATATCAATCTTCCAGTGATGAAAAGTACATATACTTAAGTGCTATGCTGGAGCTCAAATTCAAGGTACTGGTACTTTTCTATTATTGTCTTTTCATGCCATTTTCTACTTTCCACATTTCCACTTTTCATATTTTTGTCACTGCACTATGACAATCTGGACGGCTGTCATTCATAGTTACATCACACATTAAGATTTGACATAAGATTATATATAAATAAAATTTTCTGCTTAACTGAAAATGATAGAAAATATGATTGAGTATCTTGAGGGTATATACGCAGACCTACATGTAGAAAAATAACGTCTTGATTTATAACAGATTTTTTTTTCTTTTCCTTTATTTCTCATGCAGATGTCTAATTTACATTTGTATATAAATTACAAGTAATGAAATGGACAGCTTTGCTCTTTACTGAATTGTGCTGACTGTACCAAAATAAAGTACAGTTGTTTCATTACGTGGGAACAAATTTTAGGTTTTGATGGATGAGTTTGGTTTTGATGGGCGTGTGACAAGTTCTGAGATGGCTTTTACAAACAATGTGCGGTTTTGTTGTTTTCTCTTCTCTTAAGGGGTGTGTGTGATCTGCTTGAAAAAAATAACTGTGAATGTAAAATGTGACAAAGCAATGGAGGAAGAAAGACAAAGTGAAAGAAAGTTTCCTCCTGCATTCCAGGGTCATATGACTGTGCCTGTGTGTGTGTGTGTGATGATCAAGGGGAAAACCAGGGACTTCCCCAGTACCAGTACATAAAAAAACAGAGGTGGAGAGAGCAGATGGGGACAGAGAGGAGGGAGGAGGAGGAGCATGGGGGAGAGAAAGAATAAGGAGGTAAAGAGGAGAAGACAACAGGGAGAGGAGAGATAAAGAACACAGGAGAAATGAAAGACGGCAGAGCAGTAGACCAAATAAGTAACTACTGATCTGACTAACTGAGAAAATGTTTCCTGATGACAGGTGGAACCCACTTTCCTGTGAATTGTGACAATAGTCTGTGATAAGGCGGAAGTTAAAACAAGGAAACTCATTAATAAAGAATGATGCTTGAGAATTGTGTAGGCTACCTCTCAGGGGAATGCCATAATGTATTTTGCAGTTTAAATAATTAACAAGGAACAATGATTAAAAATCATACGTCATGTGCTTTTAACTCTGCTACATGTTTCCAGCTTGAGCAGGCAAATGTTGTATTCCAGTAATTTAATATTGCACCTACATAAAGTTGGGGCACGTGCAAGAGACAAACTTAACAGGTATAAACATAGCAAATGTAATTATTTTTGTTAAAAATGACTCAAATTGTACTAAATGTATGTACAGCTGTGAGTGACCTGAGTGTGTTCACCTGTAAGATGTTGCATGTCCTCTTTTAATCCTCCTCTCCATCAGGTCCACGTGTCTCTGTGTCTCTGTTGGAGCTAAATGGTCCACAGCATCTTCATCCAGCCCTTCCTCCTCATCATTCATCCATCCTTCCTTCCCATGCCTCCTTTCATCCTTGATAATAAGGATGAGGGAGGAAAGAATGAAATACAACTAAAAATTGTTTTCACGGCATCACAGTTGGTTTGTGGTCTATGTGATGGAAAGCTTCTTCAAAATAGGGTGATAAAAAGAATATTTCCGTTCTTAATTTCATCTTCTAAATCTGGATAAACACTAGTGAACACATGCCTTGTTTCTTTAAAATTTGGAAAAAGCAGACTGCATTTGCATCTCCACATTTAAGACTAGACTTAAGACTTTCCTTTTTGATTAAGCCTATAGTAAGGGCTGGCTAAGTTTTGGACCAGCCCCTAGTTAGGCTGACATAGGCCTCGTCTGCCGGGGGACCTCCTATGATACACCAAGCACCTTCTCTCCTTCTCTCCTTCTCTCTTTCTCCTTAGTTTCTGAAAAGTTGGGTATTCTCCATTTGCTAACATTTAAGTCCTATTTCTGCATATCGCTAACTCGGCTTCTTCTCCGGAGCCTTTGTTCTCCACTGTCTCGCAGGTTAACTCGTATCGCAGCTACACTTGGATTGTGGGTCATGGTTATGCTGCTGCTGTGGTCCTGCCTGATGCCTCCTACTGCTGCTACTACTGTTATTATTAGTCATACTTCTGCTATTATCATACACATATGATTATTGAAGTATAGGGTCCACCTTTCTCAAAGTTAGAAATTCACACGCACACCGAGCACTACCAACGGGAGCAATTTAGGTTCAGTATCTTGCCTAACCGGAGGACCCCAGGGATCGAACAGCTGATCTTCTGATTTGTGGTTGACCAGCTTCACCTCTTGAACCAAAGCCAGACATTGCAGAGAGTTGTCGTTGTTACCTAACAAAATAAAAGTGTTAAAATGATAGTAATGTGTTTTTTAAAAGTGTTAAGTGAAACTTACCAGTGTTAATTCAATGTCCTCCATTTCCATCTCTGTCGCTTTGGTTCTTTTTCTCTCTTCTCTTCCCTCTTTCAATCTACCAATCACCTTCTTGGCAAGATTTTTCACTTTCCCTCTGGTGTTGGTCTTTTGGTTTGTTTGCTTCGGTTCTCCATGCACAAGTGTCCCACCAACTTCCTGTGCGTCCTCTGAGCTCTTCAGTCCCAGCTCATAAGGATCCAACTTTGTCCCTTCCACCTCTGTCCCTTCCCATCCAGATGGGAGTTTAGAAATCACATCAGAGTCTCGTCCCCATGTCCCAGATATCTGGATTTCTTTGCTGTTTTCTGTCCATTTGAGTGTCTCCACGTTTGTGTCTGTCCCTGTAGGGCTGATCTGAGTAGGAACCTCTTGTGGACCAGATTGGACCTGTCCATTAGTTTTGTTCTGGTGATTTCCTGGGTGCTGAGACTTACGATCAAGAGTTTGGTTCTCAGCTGTGACTACTGATGTTGGTCTGTCTCTACAAGGGGGCATGAGACAGAATTTGGGGACAGACCCCAATACTGTTTGTCCAAGTTGTGATGGTTTTTCTGTCACGGTTGGAGTGCTCAACTCGCCACCTCTGGAATCTCTGTGTACCTTACCTCTGTCCTCTCCATCTCCTTCTTTTTCATCCCTTTCCTCCTCCACCAAGTCTCTCCACTCTTCATCCTCTTGCTTTCTTCTCTCCTTTTCCTCTTCTATGACAGACTTCATGGCACTGAAGAGATGTGGAGGTTTGATGGGTGGTTTTGGGGGATGTTTTGGTGGAGGCTGTAGTGGAATTATTGATTCTTTTTTTGCTGAAACTGTAGACGTACAGTTTCTGTTGGTTGCTGCCATGTCAGGTTCTACATCTGGGGTAAGGTCTGAGCATCCCAAAGCTAGCAGGGATGAATTTTCTGTCATGGTTGGAAAGGTCAGTCCAATATTTCTGACATCTTCTTCTGTTCCTATGTCTGTAAATACTACCAAGATCTGTCGCGGAGGCTTTCCCACATCCAAATGACATTCTTTTCCAGATGTTTGTTCATTCACCTCTGTCTTCTGACTTCTTTCAGTTAGATCTTGCTCCTGTCTGTTCCTCTGTTCTTTACTCCATTCTGCCTGTCCTCTCACTCTCCCCTCTCCTTCTTCTGTCTCAGCCCTCTTTAATGTATTGGGTCTTGGAGGTTTTATAGGTGATTTAGTAAGAGGTCTTAGAGGAAGCTGTGGTGGGTGTTTTGCTTCCACTTTTGGTAAAATTCCAGATGCAGTGCAGTTGTGCATGTCAGGTACTTCCAACGGGGAAAGACCCCTGTGTGGACTGTTACCTTTGACTCCATCCAATACTGGAGATGTCTGACATGCCAGTGAGTTCAAAGTTTTATTCTTTTTCTCACATGCAGGTGACCTCTTGGGAAGTGGGGGAGGAGCTGACAACATGGATGGAGGACGAAGTGCTTTTCTGATTTCCACTTCAGGGATGAGTGCAGAGGCAGAACCCTGTAGTTGCTCAGCAGTACGAATGACTAGACCTGGATCTGACAGGACAATGCATTTCACTGCTTGGTCCTTTTCAGACAGTTCTCCATTGTTGATTTGCCCTTCAGGTTGAGGGTTGATTTTTGGACTGTCACTTTCCTTTTTTTCTTTGTGATAATCTGTTTCTTCCGAGTCTGATCTCAGTCGAGAATCATCATAGTTGAGCTCCATATTTACATAAATTTCATAACTGTCTAGAAGACTTGTTGAGCGAGTGGATGTGTCCATTGGTATTCTCAGTTTGACTGGATGCTGTGTCTGCAGGTGACTTTTTTAGAGTATCAGAGACAGAAAGAAGGACCATGACTCATTATCCATATAACACATCAGAAGCAAAACCATCACATAATGTAGCACCAACATTAATGAACTGGAAACATTTCTTTAACACCTTTCTGATCTACAGTTTATGTACTGTATGATACAGTCTTGTATGTTCAGTTAGGGGGTGCCATAATAATTGGATGAAGTGGAAAAAGCAATTACAACAACAAGGTTACAACCATAAAGTAAGAAGGTGTTGTGGGGCATTTTGCAACCTGCACCCACCTTCCCAAGATGAAGAGAACTTGAGGCTATGGCTGAAGGCACTGAACCAACACGGTCTCACTCCCAACTTGTCATTTGGTAGTAGCTCATCAGACACAGATGCACAGAGGCAACCTTCAGTGGAGTTATGAGCCGCTCCAGGTGGCAGCATTTGTTGATGCTTCTGTGAAGTACCATGGTATAAAGAGTGAGAATGTCTACATGGAGTGGGCGGGATAAACAGCGGATAGGTCAAACAACCTCTGGGCTTTTACCCAAACTTTTCCCCAGGAGCCCGCTGTTGGTGTCCCGTGTAGAACCAAAAGTCAATCAAGTTATTTTATTATAATGTAATGTGCTAGTATGTGTAGCATACACACTCACAGTAAGACTGCGTAACGGTAAAAAACACTTAGAGTAAAGCTGTTTTACTGTAAAACAAACTTACAGTAAGGCTGATTTACCATAAAACATCATAACAGTTAAGGTACTGTAGACTGGTAATTACAGTAACTTGCTGGTTACTGTAAAAATACAATAAAATGTCTAATAGTGCATGGATTTACAGCTAAGATTTCACTAGTATAGCCAACAAGCAATTGAACACATAGCTAGCTAGCTTACCTGAATCTGACAGCCACCAGATGTGACTTAATGTAACTTTGTAGGCAACCCATTTCTCAGTTAGGTTGTTTATTTGTTCTAGTCATAGACTTAACATAAAGATGGACGACATGACAGCTCCCAAAAAGTGAAGCCAAAACATTACGATCACCACTTGTTGTCTGGCTGCAATTTAGACCATAACCCGTGCCTCCTCCATGCTAGCAGATGAGACATGGGCCAAACTAAGAACTCCCAAGTACATGTCAAAAATATTTTTTTTCCCACAGATGGTTTCTGTCATGTTAGGTAACTCATATCACGCTGATGTGTGTTCAAGTGCTCGTTTTTCTTCCAGTTTGGTTTTGAAAGCAGGTGCGAGATGGCTACTGTGCAGACTCTGGCTCCAAATTACGTCAGCAGTGCAAGATGGCAGCGGCTGTATCTGGGGTATTTTGGCTTCAGTTTTGTTCAGTGGGGGTAAATGGAGATGCATTGTCCATCTTTATATACAGTCTATGGTTCTAACTAGCTAACAATTGAATAAATAAAGCTGGTAAAACTGATTCTGATATCGAAGTCTTCAGACTAGCTAACTAGCTAGCTACCAGAGGTTGACGTGACAGTTTAGCAGAAGTGGGATGGTAGTAAGGTGGAACCAGCAGAGTTTGGTGATTACCAGTGACCCTCTTTCACATCACACTGCAAAAATACTTATTAGCGAGGAGCTTTCAGTAAGAGTTTGAATGCAGCACTTTGTGAAAGAGAATTTTTACATGTGGTGTTGCTGCTTTTATCAAAGTATAGGGTCTGAATGCTTCTCTCTTCTAAATTTGATCTACTCAGTGGACTGCAGTTACTAACCCATATATTTTCCTGATAGTCTAAAACATTCTTATACCCCTACAAAGCAAAACTAATGATTCATTACAGTTTAACTCTCTGTATCAACATTTTTTTTTGCTATATATTCATAAAACTGGTGCAGCCTCTTACCTCGTTTGTCTCTTAATTCGACAGGTTTCCTCCTTTGTGTGTGTTCCTTGGTCGCGCCCTCTTTGTCCCTCTGCCACCTGTGTTTGAGTCAACTTTGATTTTATGCTGCCTCAGGTTTTCCAGCCCTTTTATTTTCATACCTCCTCCTCCTGTCTCATGTTTTCCTCATGCTTTGTGGTCAGACCTCAGTGCCGTCGACTAACAAAACCAGTTCTGCCTCATGCACTTTTTGACTCTCCCTTTTGTGTTTTTAGATTCTCATAGTTATTTTGGTTTTATCCCTCAGATAGATACGTTTTTATCCTTGTGTGTAGTAGTAGTAGTAGTAGTAGTAGTAGTGGTAGGTCATTCATTTGTTATTAATTTTGAGATACTAAATCATTATTGTGACACAACAAGTAATTATTCTGAGATACTACATTATTATTTTGAGATACCCAGCATTATTTTTGAGATAGGTAATTCATTATTTTGATAAAGTTTCTCATTATTTTGAGACACTAACTGATTTCTCATTTTGACTCACAGGATTATTTTTAAATCACACCGGTGGAAATGGGTTTCCATACTTGGACTCCACAGTACAAAAGGATTTTAAAGGTCCAGTGTGTAGGATTTAGGGGGATATCTTGGCAGAAATGTTATTTAATATAATAAGTTTTATTTTTTGTATAACCACCTGAAAATAAGAATTGTTGTGTTTTCATTGAGCTATTTATATCTACAAAGAGAGTGGGTCCTTGTCTACAGAGAACGTCATGTTGCACTGCGATGTGTCTACAGTAGCCCAGATGAGACAAACCAAACACTGGCTCCAGATAAGACCATTCGCATGTTCGCATCAGTAATTGTAGTTAGTTAAAGTCGGAAAAACACTGATTTTTAATGCTTAACTGCTTTATTCTGTGTTTTTTTTTTTATCATTAATGTTTTATCGAACGCTTTTTTTCTAATATGAACAGTCGCAGAGTGTTAATAAATCAAATATATGTACACAAGAGGGAAAATAATAATATAATGATGCATAAGTAATTCTTCAGAAACAAAAAAAAAGAGAAAAAATATTCCTACATAAATATGCACCACAATCCTCTCTGATCTACAAGCAGCAGATGGACTCTCAGACACTCAAGAAAGGTATGATTCACTTAAAGATACATCCACACCAGCAATTTACTCCAAGTAGCCTCTCTACTTCGCCACATATTTCTCTGTCCTGCCCTTAGAACTGAATGAGTTTTGTTCATATGGTGCAACATTTGCCAAATCTGTTAACCATTCCTTAAAAGAAGGCTCGCTTGGTTTCTTCCAGTTTCTCATTATAATTTGCTAGAGTAGGTGAGAAAGCGTCCTTTTAGTACTGCAGCACTTCCAACAGTCAGCATTGTTCCCAAGCTTGAGCTTAAACAGTCTAGAAGTGGTTCAATAAAAACGATTAAATATTTTAAATTGGATTTAATTTAATATTGATGTTGCTTGGAATATTCTCACATATATGATCCCATTCTTTTTCTGCAACATCAATGTTCAGATCTGCTTTCCACGTTAACATAGGAGCATAAGATACAGATATTCATTCATTTTCCATAACCGCTTATCCTGTTGGAGGTCGCGAGGGGGCTGGAGCCTATCCCAGCTGACATCGGGCAAGAGGAAGGATACACCCTGGACAGGTCACCAGACTATCACAGGGCTGACACACAGAGACAGACAACCATTCACACTCACATTCACACCTATGGGCAATTTAGAGTCACCAATTAACCTGCATGTCTTTGGATTGTGGGAGGAAGCCGCAGTACCTGGAGAAAACCCACGCTGACACAGGGAGAACATGCAGACTCCGCATCAGGTGCCAATGCTAACCACTGCACCAATCATTCTTAATAAACAAATACCTCATGACCCAGCCCCATTATTTTTATAATCTGACAAAGATTTGACTTTTGAGGTGGGATTCCTTTCCCCACAACAAGGACTAGCAGGTGTCTGATTTGCACATACTTCCAGAAATTGTTTTTATCTGTTAAAATCACCAGGTCCATTTGTTCTGAAGAGAAAGCGGATAATTCATCTTCTGGAAAAACCTCCTGAACAATGAACACTGACGGAATTCTAACCAGGAGACGAATTAGCAGGTGGCAATCTCTCATCATCACTGATAGATGCCACTAAATCCCCCCAAATCTTTCACACTGGATCTTTAACTTAGTTGGTGGAGTTTTACATATGACCAATAGAGGGCAGCTAAAAGGCTTTGCTGCGTATAGGCTGCCGTAAATTCTATTGAAAGAACAAGGAAAAGTAGCCAATCCGAATCTTCCATTTACAATCACGTGATTTTAAAACCCGGAACAACAACAACAGCTTGTACTTTAGATCCCAGACTCTCAGGGAACTTTTAAAAACATTCCCAGAGCTCCAGTTTTAGTGTATGATATGTTTTCTAAGA